CCCATATGTTGAGCCCTCATTTTGAGAAGTCCTAACGTCAAGTCCATGATCATAAGGTCTCATGGCATATGAAAGAACGATATGAACTACGTGATATGATATGTGAAATATGTTATGTGTTGTTTGCAAAATGATAAGTTTAATGATGCATGTTACACTCATTGCATGACTTTCCAAATCCAAATTTGGCAGGTCCATTCACATTCCTAATCCAAATTTGACAAGTCCACTGACTTGACTTTCCATAAATCATGTTGTTAGGAAAGAGCTATTCCTTCTCAGGCATGTCCTTGGTGTGTGCTTGCATATACCCATACTTAGTACAAGTGTGTACTAATCCCATACTACTATATACTTTTAGGTGTATGCACAGGTGGAAGCTAGAGCTTACAGGTTGACGTTGCCACTATTCGGACGTGGAGCTTTCATCCGAACTTGTTAGGCCCTCATGCTTTCGAGGATTCTACCGTTATTATCTAGCTTAGATGTAGGCTTTAGCTAGTGGAGCATGTTCCACTAGTGTTTCTTTCCACTTTCATTTCGTACTTTGTATTGGTGTCGTTTTGGCAAAAGTACGTTTAACGCAATTATGAACTATTTTTTTCATTTGATTATCACTATATTAGATGGTTGATTTGTGAAAGCCTATAATGTTAATTGGAATATGTTTAACATGAAGTAAGAAGACAAAAAGGTCAAATTTTCCACTAAAATTAACCTAGATGAAGTAAGAATGACGTATGTAGGCTTGTCTGCGACCTCTAAGAGGTCAACGACGCCGGTCTCATCTGGGGTCTAGATTTCGGTCATTCGGTCTTGACAAAGTTTGTATTAAAGCGCTAGGTTAAATTCTGAGGATAATAAGTTCACATAAACCACATTGAGTAGTTCATAAGTCATGGTAGTGAAGTGCACCACTATCCTGAATAAGAGACTGCATGATGCATAGGAAAATTTTCCATCTTCTAATCTTACCATGCCTTTCCTAATGTTTGAATTTCATGATGTTATGAGCGTGTCTAAAATAAATCCTTGTTGTTTACAGAGAATGAACACTAGGAGAACTATTGGTCAGAGGAGCAAAGTATCTGCTGCTAGAGACAATCAAGTTCCAGCCTAGGCTCCAGCTGAAGGAGTAGCCATGTCAGCTAACCCTGCTGGGTTGACTGATGCTGAGGTGAGGGCATATCTAGCCCAGATGGAACAGACCATCACCATGCAAGATCAAGCCATGACTGACCAGGTCAATCGGCGAAAATGTCCAGAGAGAGAATCCACCGGTTTGCAGTATGGCTGATAGATTGAGGGATTTCACGAGGATGAATCCTCCTATTTTCATAGGGTCTAACACTTCAGAGGATCCCCAGGAGTTTGTGGATGAGGTTCATAAGATTTTGGTGGCTATGGGGGCCACAGATACTGATAAAGTAGAGTTGGCTTCCTATAACTGAAGGATGTTGCACAAACTTGGTGCAAGATGTGGCAGGATAGCCGAGCGTTGGGCGAAGTTTCAATCACTTGGGAGTTATTTAAGACATCTTTCCTGGAGATATGTTTCCCTAGGGAGATGAGGGAGGCCAAGGTTGAGGAGTATATCAACCTTAGACAGGGATCGATGACAGTCACAGAGTATTCTCTGAAGTTTGTGAAATTATCCAGGTATGCCACTTCTCTTGTGTCTAACAGCAGAGACGAGATGAGTAGATTCTTGGCAGGAATTGCTAAGGATATCGAGAAAAAGAGTAGGGCGGCTATGCTGCATGACAACATGGACCTTTCCAGGCTTATGGTCCATGTTAAGTAAGTGGAGGAAAGCAGAAAGAGGAAACACCCTAGGGTAGGGAACAGGTCAAGGCAAGCTGAGGAGAATTTGTCAAGAAAGAGTAGTACTAAAATCAGGGATAAGCCCAGGTTTAAGAAGGGACTCTTCCACCAAGGGGAGTCAAGTACATCTAAGGGTCGCCATGATATGAATTCCGAGTCCAGAGTTAAGAGAAACAATGAAGTAGATACACCTTAGGTGAGACCACCTTGCAGGAAGTGTGGCAAACTACATGGAGGAGAGTGTATGATGGGAACTAATTCTTGATATAGTTGTGTTAAACCGGGTCACATGGTGAAGGATTGTCCTATTAGGAGAAGTCAAGAACAAGGGAAGGAGAGAGTTCATTCTAATGGTCCAAGTGAAGAGGCTACAAGGAGGCAATGATTCTTTACACTCAAGTCTAGGGGTGCAGGGGAAGGCACTTCTGGTGAAGTCTCGGGTGAGTTACCTTAATTAGTCCTTCATGTATTTGACTGTGTATGGTGTTTATGCACTAGTATGAGGTTAATATGTTTGAGTCATCATGTTGGTTGCTGATTTGTATGACTTTTATGTATCTTATATTCTATGCTTTGATGAGACTAGTTTAGGAAAGAGTTCCTCAGTCTATTAATGTGAAACTACTGGTAGTTTTCAAGGATGTGCACTATCATGTTAATATGTGAATCATACATTCAACAATGGGGAGTATTGAATTACCTATGTATGCATACGTCCTACAGATGACTTACTTATTGTTAGTAAAGAGTAGTGTCATTCAGGGACGAATGTTTCTAAGGGGGGGGGGGGGAATGTAATAACCCTAAAAATGGATATATTAAGTGATACTTAATGTGTCAAGAATGCCTATGATTAGACCAGGGTTCACACGGATTGATGCGCGTAGAACTAGACTTCGGAACCCTTTCTACATCCAAGCCAACTAACTTGGGGAGTTAGTTGAGCTAGGTTAGGTTGGGACCAACCATGTATGGCTTTCGACTACGAAGATTTACTCGAAGGAGTCTTTATCGGACTTAAAAAGAGGAAATCTTAGGTTTGGAGGGTCTAGGGGTAAAATAGTCTTTTTCCATGATAAGGGTAGTATTGTAATTATTCTAAATATATAATTAATTATTTAATTAATAAAGTGGAGGGGAAATTTGGGAAGAGAGAGTCGAATTGAGCTCTTGAAGTGAAGTCTTGCTTCACCCCGTTCGAACCTAGGTGGAAGCAATGAATTAATGTGATTTTTATTTTAGCTATTAAATTAATATAATTAATTAATTATTATTATTCATTATCTGATTTAAAATAAAATAAATTTTAGTTTTTTAATAATTAAGTAAACCTTATTTGACTAAGTCCTAAACTAGACTCCTAAGCCTAATAAAACCCCTACTCTCTCACGTCTATCTCTTAACTCTCACGCTCAATCTCCCTTGTTATTTCACATGAAATTCTCTTCCAAAATAAGATACAAAAGCATAAAAATAAACCAAGTTCTTCACACTTGAAGAACTCACACGAAATCACAAGAAAACAAACGTTAATCGCATACTAGGCTAAGGGAGGTTGTCATTCGAGTGGAGTTGACATTGAGGAGGCCTAGACGTGTTCTTGGGAGGAGTTTTTGGGCAACAAGTCAAGGGTTTATATGGGTTCTCTTCTCTCTTTGTCCCTTTCCCAAGAGACCCCTTAAGATTCAGTCAAATCTAATCTGAAAACTAGGATTGTTTCCGTTGCATGTCCCTGTCACTAGCTCCCATTGATTCGTAGGTTGGGTATGTTTACTTGTAGATATTAGACATGTAATGTGTTTTTGTATTGAATATGTTCATGAATGTTGTTTGGAATCGTATGAATGACAATCTATGTTTTTATGAAAAGAATTGTACGTGTGTACAATGTAGCCGTGACTCCTTTGGTTTGAGGTTCAAAAATAACATGTTATGATTGTGTTCTTACGTGCACAAACTTATATAAATTGTGATGTTCATAAGGTGATGTAAATATGCTGATTTGAGTGAAATTCTTTATTGAATGAAATCTTGAAAATGCACCTAAATAACTCACCAAAAAACTAATTAAAACGTCTAAACAATTAATGTGAAAGAAGTGAGAAAATAGGCTGCAAAAATTTCAAGCAGCTTGTTAATGAGTTTCGGCCAAGCTAAGGAGAATTTTATGCTATGAAACAATGAACTAAAATATGTGAGATTACTGGGGATTGAACCCGTGACCTGACCGTGTTGAAAATCAATGAAAAAGGGTGAGAAAAATGGAATGTAGCATGTGGGACTCGAACGTATGACCTTGGATGGAAAATGAAAAATGAAAAGAAAAGAAATGAGAGGAGTGGGATTCGAACCCACAACCTCTTAGACAGTAAAGGAGAAAGGAAAAAATGAAAAAGAAAAGAAATGAGAGAAGTGGGATTCGAACCCACAACCTCTCAAGCAGTAAAGGAGAAAGGAAAAATGAAAAGAAAAGGAATGTGAGGCATTAGATTCGAACCCACGACCTCTTAGGCAGATTTAAAAAGAATTAAAAATGCAAATAAAAGAAATGTGAGGCGTGGGAATTGAACCCACGACCTCTAGGCAGTAAAGGAGAATTACAATAAAAAATAAAGTGAGGCTGTGGGAGTTTGATCCCACAACCTCATGTGAATGCGAGATAGTCAAGGAGAAATACATAAAGAAATAAAAGGGGTTGTGGGGGTTCGAACCCACAACCCCTCTGCCAAAAGAAAGAATTTATAAAGAAAAGTAACTAAAAAGAAATGTTGATGTTGGGGTTTGATCTAGGGTCGCAATGTCATAAGGACTAAAAATAAAATCAAGGAAAAATGTAAGTGTTATCCAAGGGATTCGAACTTGGGTTCCTTTACCCAAATTTCCGTATTAATACATAAATCATACGTGAATTAAATATTCAAGAATAATGCCACCTACTTAGATCAAAATCAAGATCTTGGCATACATACAAGATACATAAGTCTTGTACTACATAATCTTATGAAGATATGAGTCACTTAACAAACTATGAATGAAGCCTCATGGCTTGTATGTATAGACCCATAAGTCTAGCATACGATTAAAAATAAGCGAACCTAAGATGTATATAATGAAATGATGAAACCCTAGAAGGGTTATGCACGAGTGTAAGATAAACTAAATATCCAAGTGCATTGACATATGACGAAATGAACAATGAAACCATAGAAGGGTTAAGTAAGAGTGTGAAACACACAAATGGCCAAGTGCATTGTCATATGATGAAATGAACATTCACGTAAAAAGAGGTGAGTAATTATGAAGAGAAAATGTGCTAATGTTAATGAATGTGGTGACAACATGATATGAGGCTAATGGAAAATATGAGAGCAGATCTCAAATGAGGCTAAGTAAATTTTACCAAAACGTACTCACCTATGAGAGTGTAAAGTTAATGAAGAGACCAGTCTCTATGAACATTCTAATGAAAGTATTGAGATTAACACACTTAATACTAATG